ACACACACACACACACACACACACACACACACACACACACACACACACACACACACACACACACACACACAAACGCACACACACACACACACACACACACAAAGGTGCGTGTCGATTTCGACAGCGCGCAGCAACGCTCGATTTCGACAGGTGCGCTCGATTTCGAAACTTCAGCCGCGGGGCATGTGTGGGGGGGGATCTCTCTCTCTCTCTCTCTCACACGCACACACACACACACACACACACACACATACAGCACACACACACACACACGCATACATAGGCTTGGGGTCCGATTTTAACCCCATATATGATGGAGTGGTATATTAAGATGTTTGGGGAGTGACATATGAGGAAGTAAGGGGGAATAGTCGGTATGGGAAAAATTTGGTCGGTAATATTTAGTCATGTATTAAGTGGGGTTTTTTTATCATTATTTTCAGTGTAGTATTATCATTAATAGTTGGTATTGTTGGCAGCAAGCTGAGCGCAAATTTGAGATGCCTCGTACCGTGGCGGGGCTGAGGAAAACTTACCGCATAAACGTAGCAGACTTATACCCGCGTGAGGCTGGGTGGAACCGTGCTTACTGTGCCAACTTTGCTTAGTACCCTCTTATTCACACAAATTATGTGACATAATAAATAGAATGAACTGAGCTCAGTTACTCCTCTTGGATACAGTTAGAAAATACCCAAGAATGTCCAATGTATCTAGTCATGGAATATTGGGAAGGTAGATGCTATCTGGGTGGGCTCTAGTCATCCTTGTGGGTTTGCAAGTGGGAATAGGGAAGTACTATAGGTATTTAAGAAATGATTAGACGCTGGTAGAATCCTCTTTCATCGACCAGGCGAAGGGGTTGACGCATGCAGGTAATTTCAGGATTCCTCGTGCGGAAGCTCTTTGGCCCAGTCGACCAGAAAATCGAGCGGGGTGTACGGTCGAACGGCTATGCAGGGAGCGCCGTTCTTGGCCACTGTATCGTTCGCAGATGAGGTCACGGTTCGGCCGTCTCGGTTGCTACCGAGGCTCTACCTCGTGTTATCAGCAACCCTTTATTTTTCGTGTTCGCTGCGTCCGCTTGGCGTGACGTTTGTCTGCTTCCCGCGAGTAACTGTAACGTTAGATGCTCGATAGTCCGGTTGTGAGGAGCATGGAGTCTCCGTTTGTGTTTGAAGAGATGTTGGATGTGCATCTTGCCGAAGAGGATACTACTGAGCCGCAGCCGGAGGTGATGTGTTCGATGGGTCGATTATTTTTCTCGTCATCGTCTTCTTTTTCTTCTTCTTTTTTTTCGTTCTCTCCTTCTTTCTCCTCCTCCTTCTTCTTCTTCTTCTTCTTCTTGCTCTTCTTCTTTTTCGACATCTTCGTCTCCTCCTTCTACGTCGTCTTCTTCTTGCTTCCACTTGGTCTTCCTCAGTTCTGTTTACTCCGTTATTTCATCAGCATGGTATTCATCTTCTATATTATCCCTTTCCTTTTATAAATATTTTGTGTGTTGTACCTTGGTTCTCATTAAGCACTTAGAAATGCGTGATGATTATGTGCTTTATAAATTATCCTCTGATGAGCTGTGTCTGTGGCAAGACTAAGCGAAAAACATGTTTAAGGATGTTCGCCACCGCCCTAGCCATGGTTAAATGTATGAAACGACCACCTACCCTTTATGTGGTAATCCGTGGTGATCGTCTGAGTACTAGGAGAACCACTTGTTTTTCTTGGTTTTTACTTGTTTTTTTGTATATTGTCTTTGATTATTTACCTGCACTTACCTATACTGTGGCTGGCTGTGTGTTTCCTTAATGCTTTATTCATGGGCTGCTCCTTGCCATGATATTTCGTAATTGATAAGAATATTGATTGCGTTCCTCGATGATTGTGTCTCTATGATTTCCGGAGTATCTATCCCCCCTTGATGGTCTTCCCTTCGGATCTTGTTCGTTCCCCGTGGTGATTGCCTTCATCTTCTGCTATGGGTCAGTCCGTTTCACCTTCATTCTCTGGTGTATATGGAGTGCTGGTCACTCCCTCTATATTTCCTGAGTTGCCTTAGCTTCTTCGTTATCCCCTCGCTCCTTGTTTGGTTCGTATGGAGTTGTCGTTGGATGTTGGTGCTGGGTGGGATTTGTTGCTTGATGTGACTAGGCCATGTTTGCAGCAGATAAGTTGAGGAATCATGCATAGATTTCGCCGAGGAGCATTGATCGAATTGAAAATGGAGTCGATTGAAATCACGCCCGGAGATCTACCGACATCGGTTATGATGGGTGGTGAATGGGGGATGGCGGATTGTATCGCTGCGGGCTGCTATATATATTTGTGTATTTGATTATATAATAGGTGTGCTCAGCGTTGTGGTTAGCATTAGAACGGGTAGGCCTAGTGTGCCTTGAAATGCGGGATAGTAGCAGTTTTGATAATAATATGTTTTTTTTGAAATTGTTTGAAAAAGAAGGGTGTGTGTAGAGGGTCATAATTGTTGCTTCGGCGATGAAAGATGATAACCCTTATATGAGTAGGACGGGGGAAGAATGAATGAGTATTGAAAGGATGGGGGTCTTTGGGTGGATAGCTGTACAACCGCTGAATTTGGTTATCATTGTTCTTAGCGAGTTTTTTCGTGTTGTTGATGAATGGAGAAGCAGTGTACGATCATGGATTTTGTGAAGAAGCTTTCATAAACGGATTGGAGCGGTGTGTGGCTGGATACTGAGTATCTGTGGTGATTGACAGGTAGCTTGGGTTCTGTGATCATCTTCCTCCCTCTTTCGTATAGTGCGCATGATGGATTTTCTGTAAGTAACTATGTGATGATTTGGGAGGAATGCATTCCCTGGTTATAGATAGAGAGTAGTTCGGGGTTGTATTTTGTTTTGTGTTCGGGTAGCGAGGTTTTCGCGGGGATAATGGTGCAGTGATGTCTGGGCGAACTGTTGACACTAGATGACGTGTCAGTTCCGTTCGACGTTTAATAAGTAGATGGGTTTGAAGTGGCGCACTTCCATTAGCAGAATGTAGAACCTCTTCTGGACCATCGAATGTTGCGACGATTGATGGTGTAACTGCAAGTAAATGATACAGTTTTTTTCGGGAGTATCTCGTTGGCGAAATCGTTTGAGCGCTGTCTTAGTGCATCTCTTGCTTGGTTTCTTTCTATCTCCCTTTCCTGTCCTCTTTCTCTACCTCTAATTTTTGTGTCCCTTTCGTTTCCCTCTTGCGATCTGTCCTCTCGGTCTCTCCTATTTTGTTTTCCTCGCACAATACCCTCTTGTCTCGGGATTCGCTAATCTTGGAGCCATTTGATGTAAAGTTATTATTATTTTTATTTTTATTTTTTATTTTTTATTATTTATTTTTACTTTTGTGTTTATTCATGAGTAAAAGTTTTTGTAATCGGGTTTGATGTTCTGAATTGAGCGTCGTCTGTCTGAAAGTGGATTCTGCATCCATAATTTCTATGGTTGCATCTACTTAGACCACAAATTTGCTGCTTGGTTTCTGGGGACGATGAATGTGTGAAATGAAAGCGTATACAGTGGATCAAGTTCCTCGTGGGAGTGTATCTGGTGTTGTGACAGCGGGGTGGAACATGTATTTGTTACATACTGAGGCGTTCATAATATGTGTTCACACACATCATCACACCCACATATCCATTCGGGGGATGTACCCTTGGTGGAAGTTTTTTCTCATGGCTGATACCCATGGCCTCTCGCGCGTGACACACTAATAGGATGCATTTTGCTCCTGTCGATCTGGAAATTCCTGGTTTTTTACTGTTGTATCGGCTTCAATGGTTCTATCTTGTCTTCCTTTGGTGCTTATGTGGTGAGATTTTGTGCTCGATTGTTCATTGTTTGCTTCAGGATTTTGTTGCCCCTCAGTTGCTGTGGATTGTTGATCTTGTTACTGGAGACAAGGCCTGGCTTGCCCGCTTTCGTCCTCCTTCCCGTCCTACCCAACCCCTGATTGCGTATGCTCAAAAGCAGGTCATAGTTGAGGTTCAGGAAAGATCTGTAGCTCCTGAGATTCATGCCCACCCCTTAGTCGAATACTTGTCCTTTAACGACTGGGCTGAGCTGATTTATGTGTACCAGCACAAACGAAACGAGTTCGTCGATACATTGAATAGGATGTCGAGGGCGACTACTACCGTGGCTGAAGCGATTAGGGTGGACAATAGGACGTTGAATGTGAGCACCATTGATGCGGAAGTAAAGTTTGTGAAGATCTGGGGTGCAGACTCACAATTCCACAGAGAGAAGGAGGTGCGCAGTGTGGTGGTAGCCGATGAGGTAGCTTTGGAAGATGAAGAGGATGGGATGACTGAGGAGGAGAAAGAATACTTGAGGATGAAGGATCTCGAGGTGGCCAGGACCAAAGCGGGTCTCGTAACTAGTAAGAGGAAATCGTTTACGGATACAAGGAGGAATGAGTTCCTTCCCCTTGCCTCTCCCAGATGGATTGAGACGATGTCCACAGTTTTCTCTGGCAAGATCTAGTCCCTGGAGACCTTCAACTTTCTTGCACCGTTAGATCAGAGGGGGTACAGATTGTTAGCATCTCTCACACAAGATGAGATGAAGGTTGCGTATGAGAGAGCTCTGGAGATAAACACGTCCCCGCCGGATGTCAGATTCCCGTTCAATGGGGATGGGACTCAATGGATGTGCGAAAGTGCTCCCTCCCTCGCCCCAATGTGTTGATCAAAGCGAACAAGCCCCCTCAGAACCCGTCAGCCCTGGTTGAGATGAAGAGGGTATGGAACGTAGGTAGGCCTTATCTTAAGTGCAGATGTGCTTCTGAGGGTAAGTCTGATTGTGGGTCTGGTCCTGCGTGGTTTGATCATTTCATTTGGTTCCTCTGGTACAATCTGGATATTTTGTATCCAAATGCGTCGAGCCCGAGGGCAAAAGTGTCCTCTCTGATCAAGTGCCTCTCCACTTGCTGGAAGCCCTTGATGCTGACGTCTTTGGCTTTTGGATATGTAAGAGAGATCATGATGCTGCTTACCAAGAAGGTCATTGCGAATCCCGCCCTGACGGCTGATTCAGTGTTAGTCGGTGTGAATGGCGCCGATCGTTAGGCGTCTTTGGCTTTTGGATGCGTAAGAGAGATTATGATGCCTCTCCACTTGCTGGAAGCCCTTGATGCTGACGTCTTTGGCTTTTGGATGCGTAAGAGAGATCATAATGCTTCTTACCAAGAAGGTCATTGTGAATCCCGCCCTGACGGCTGATTCAGTGTTAGTCGGTGTGAATGGCGCCGATCGTAATGCGTTCAAGGAGTGCGCTAAGCTGTTACTGATGAGTAAGTATGTGAAGAAAAGGTCGAGGACAACTGAGGTTGCTTCTTCCTCAGCAGGAAAGCGTGCTAGGACAGATGGACAGGGGACAATGGATCGATTTGTGAACTCGACCCCCCGTAATTCGACCATGATCCCTGATGCGGGAACCCCACCCGAGTCCACGATTACCTCGGTTGGAGGAAAGAGGGTTGGTCTGCCGGCGGTGCTCATTGGAGGAAAAGTCGGGGGCAGCAACGGATCGTCAACAGAGCGATTTTTTATAATTAAAGTTTTCCTCTACTTAAGATTCTGTCATGATTGGATTTGTGGCACGTACGCAAGGGATCCCTGATCGATGGGCCTTCGGGAAGGAAGCAATGAAAGAAGCTAGTGGATAAGGAGGACTCGTCTCGCAAATTCATACATATCCATTATGTTGGCAGGTTGATGGAGGGATTCAATATCAAAAAGATATTTGAATTTGTGCTCTCGCAATTCGTCAGCGTCCATGTACTAACTCTGTTCCTCTCTATCGTGTTTGGTTGGACGTATGATGACCCTATCTGTCGGTGCGTATATAAACTTGCCTCTGTTTTCAAGCATTTTAACCTGATAGAATGGTATGGATGGATGACGGATGAAAACATATATCCGTGCAACAATGAGGAGCGTTTCCGATCTTTCCTCTGTGATGACACCCTCCACATGACCCAGCCTTGCCATACAGCTTCAAAGCATGTTGCGTGCCTCAGGGGGCATGTCAAACTTTACGTTTATCGGGGTTGGCCGATTGCTTACATGTTCTTCACCACGCTAAGCAGGTAGTAGTATGCTTCCAATGTCATTCTAAAGGCTATGATTCAAAATCTCGTTTCTGCTTCCTGGATTATAGCCTTTTGTAGTTCCTGCCTGGATAACCTTGGTCTTAAATGGACGAGGTATTCATCCTTCCCCAGAGTTATCATCATCTCCTTCTGTTGGACTAGCCAATCGACTATCTTTTTCGCCTAAGCTACGTAAGAGGCCACATTTGGTCCCTCAAACTTCACTCTGCCTCTGTTGGTCTTTGGTTGGAAAAGTCTCCTCGAGGTCCACCCATCTTCATATGCTCTGATAACTTGAAGATCCTCTTTTACCGAACGCGCCAATTTCGTTGCTTCTCCCTGGAAGATCGCTACGACGGATCTCTCTTTTAACTATTGCTCCTTCACCTCGTCCACTGCTCCATCCATCATGAATTTTCTCCCCTTCTCATCTTCTACCACCTTACTGAGATTTACATCGTGAGGACATACCCCTTTGTCATAGCATCGGCCCATCGAACCTCTCACCTTGGAGAGATCATCTTCCATAGTCCTGGCTTGGCTCTCTTCTGGTAAAGCCCCAAGTCGAGGTAGTAATCGACGAGTAAGTGAGTTAGATCTTGAGGAAGGAACCAGTGCAGTAGCTTCCTTATGTTGTATGAGTCATATCCCATCCAGTATCCTCGGTGTGTGCATAGCTTGTCTGCTTGATCGGTGGCGATAGTGCTGTTGATCGTTTGGTAGTCCGCTGAGAGACGATGGCGAACCTAAAGCGCTCCAAAATCAAATACCCGATATGCTTTCCCCCACTTAACTACGGGAGCGGCGATAGGTTGTTCAAATGTTAACCGGCCAGAACTGGGTAACTCACGACGATAGCAGAAATAATTCCCGCTTATCCTATTGCACCCCAGGCAGAGGTACCAGGTTTTTGACATCCTGTTAAACATCCTTGTGTACCTATACTTGTCCTAGATTGCCTCAATTCAGATGAATATGCGTTAATCGGCTGAGTGAGGTGCAAGTGCTAACCACACACAGTAGCAATCCCTTAAGTAGGACCACCACTCACTGCACCTTATTACTTCTATCGCCCAAGTAGGTGTCCCTTTCCCCTCAATCCCCCGCGGAGATACACTTTCCCCGCTTCTAGCCACCGATGGTTCCACACGAGTCCTATTACAGTGGTTGAGATACTAATCAGGACTAGGGTTAGATAGGCGCATCCAAACTAGGGTGTCTCATCCTACGGATCCTTGCGATAGGTCATCTGTGGTATCGTAGTTGATAAGAGATGCAATGAGTAGAATCGAACAGATTTAGCAGTAACTTCAATTGTCAGTCGGTTTCGTCGAATGAAACATCCTATCGGCTCTGGTATCGTACCTAGCGTGAGGGTGGTGATAAATTTCTCTAAATTCAGGGAGCACCCCCTGAGCATAAATGTCTGCTCATTCGAAAGTTTTCCCAATGCTTTGCTTGTGATCTTCTACTTCACGAATTTAAGCCACATCATAGAAAAAACCTCATAACTGTAAGTTGCGAAAGGTATTTTATTGACCAGTTACTGCGGATTGAAATATATCCAGGATGGGTGCGTGCTTCCCCCTGGCTTCCTTAACAAATTTTACATTGAATCACAACTAGAGAGGAACACAACCTACCTCCTACTCTTAGTTCATCAATTCAGTTGAGCCCCAGGAACGGGGGTCGACCGGATATAGCGGCGCTGAGACAAAGTTGTCGCCCCACGAGAAAAAGCTCGTAATAAGGACCTACCATGGCTGCCCCTGTGACGAATCCTGGCATCGTTTTTCACCTTGGTAATATGTGTTATGCACCGAAGTTACCATTCATCGTGACCTAGTCTACCCACGCGTTAAAATAGACTACCAAGATGAAACCTCCTGCATTGCGGGCATAACCCCACTCTCGATGAGAGAGAGAGCAGGGTCTCCTCCGTGCCTCGTCACATCAGTGAGGTGAACGGCCCGGTAGCACCCGGCACGCTAATCGCGCGAGGTAACTGCGTTAACAGAGCGCTACGCTAGTCGTCCGGTAACGCTGCTCCAGTTCGGGGGCAATCTCTGTCTATTTTTCTCTTCCCTCACATATATTTTAACTGGCGTTCTGTTATGGAATGTATCTTTCTTTCACTACCTACCTACCACTACTTCTAAGGCTATATAGGAGACCGAAAGTTAGTCCTTTTTTTTTTTTTTTTTTTTGTAAAAAAATATCACATGACTTATGAACAAGAACACAGGGGAAGCTGAAGTCCTCAAGCTCAGAATGTAGCCAGTGTCAAAGAGTGGTTGTTCATCGGTTAAGAGTCCACATTTGTTGAATGGAAGGACAATTAAAATAAAACGCATCTGGAAAAGGGAAAAAAAATCAAATTTAAAACGTGTACATTCTATTCAAATTACGAAAAGACAAGAGTGTTGTATTTGAAGAGAATATTATTTTTTTTCCCCCCGAGGTAATCGCCTGCTCCGTTTTCTCCTTGGCTGTCGGGACAGACCCCAACAACTCTTGGCTAGTTGAACCTGTCAGGCCCTTCTTGGAGATGTGTTGTGTTTTGGTCATGCCTATAGCGGCCGCAGACAAGAAAGTGGCAGTGTGAAGCCGGAACCACGGTCCAAAAAGTGTCAATTTGCAGCCTTAAGGCTGCGGTATAGTGGGCTTCGTGTCAAGGTGTCACATTTTTGGTGGTGGGCGACCACGATCATGCAAGTGGGTTCTTAGGGGGGGGGTGGATTTGGGGGACCGACCCTTCAATATATTGCGGACTACCTACATCTAGCTCTGGTAGAAGGGGGACTTTTGAAAAACGGAAGGACCGATCCTCAGGTGGAAGCAGACCCCAAAAAGCAGTGAGGGCATGTGAACTGCAAAAGGACCCTCAGGCCCAAGTCTTCTCAAAGCAGGGAGGTCAGGCGCAACGAAACAGGCGTTTTGCACGAGGTAACTTTGGTGGCGATTTTCTGTGCTCAGAGGAACCCGCAGAAAAATCTCAAATTTGAGAATCTATACATGAGGTCGTGTTCTTTCCAGGAAGAATATCAGAACATTTTTAAAAATTCATTTGGACCGCGAAATAATTGTCACACCAATTCAGCACATTTTCTATTTTTGTCACTCTGCCATGCGTGGGCCAATTGAAAAAGTACTCCAAATTCGGTGAGTTTTCAAGCTCAAAAGAAAGCGTGAAAAAACCTGAAAATTGGAGTCCTTATAAATTTTATTGTGATCCTTCCAGGAAAAATGATAAATAAATTTGAAAAAATCATTCCAACTGTGAAATAGATCATGGTCGCAATTTGACTCATATTTTAATTTTGCCATTTAGCCTCTCTCTCTCTCTCTCTCTCTCTCTCTCTCTCTCTCTCTCTCTCT